ATTGGATTAAAATTGGAATTTACTAACTGTATATAGTTGACATGACTTTTCTTACTTTTTTTTAGGTTTGAATTAACTGAAAGTGAAGGAAATAATACTTTGAACATAAGAAATTATACTGTTTAAACACTAGGGATCTATTTGACTGAGATTAGTTTTCACTCCCTCGTTTAGTTGTGAAGAAATTGAGTGATATATATATATATATATATATATACATATAGTACAACTTTACCCCTCACATAATTTTTCAAATTATCCGTTGAAAGACAATGATTAGTGGAGATGTTGAAGCTGATGAAATTTATCATGATTTATTGTTTTGCCTCCCTCCCTTCTTCCAGTTCTTCATATTAATGACATAGTATGTTAGGTCATCCTCCTACCATCAAACATTAGAATAATATTTCTCTCTCATATCTCTTTAGGTGTGGTTGTCCTACTAACGAGTTTGATAAAACAATTGTCTTTCCTCTCCTTCCGCAAAAAAATTTCAAAATCTTCCTTTTCAACTAGGCCACTCGAACATTTGGTGTCATGTTCCTACTCAAATATAGATTAGAAGCCCTTCATATAGTTCAAACTTAATGTTAAAAATATAAAAAATCACTTTCAACTTAATTTAAAACTTTGCGCATTGAAAATGCTTTGAAATTTGTACCATCTCTAATGTATAACTTTTTTGGGACAACCATATGATTTATCAAATTTTATGCATCTCAATTGAGTGATGTTGCATAATCTAAAAAACCTCATCTCTTTGATATAAGTCAACCTTCAATATTCCATATGAATGTTACATGCTAGTGGGGACGGTCTTGACCACATGCTATCTCATCCATCGCGTTCAATTTCCTCTCAATAACTTTTCACACATCTCTTATTTATCCCATCCAAGCTATATTTTCTCTTAGTATTCAATTTCCTCTAAATATATATAAATATTATGATTCTCTCGTATGACACTCATATACTACACATCGATGCCACTTTTCACGAGAACACACTTTAATCTTTTCCCTCTTCCTCCAAAACTTCCTATAACTACATCTTCCCTAAAGGCTTAAAATATCGATGGCATTGACAATCTTTCATAACAATGCCTGTATCCACATCAGTTTCAACTAAACATCCATCTACCTATAAGCTCTCTAATCTACATTAATCAATTACCATAGAGAACATATATGAAAACTTATTGTGTTGGTTAACATTTATTCCATTCATTTCATATATTTATCTTACTCCTATCATCTATATCCATTCCCAAGGTATCTCAAAAAGCACTACAAAATCCTTTATGGAAAATGTTATGGATGCTAAGATGCTAAATTTCATCATCATAGTTCAATCAATTGCTACAAAGTTTTGTTGGTTGCGGAAATGTTCAATCAGACTACTTCGACACTCTCTCCAATGAAACAATATGGCTATAAACGGATGCAAATTATATCTTCCTCTATGATGAACTTCATAAGTCAATTTAGATTAAATAACCACCTATGTATATTACTTAGGGGGAGAGTCGCATATGACCTCTTAAAATTGCATCAATTGACTTGAACATGGTCCTTGTGCTTGGTTTGAAAAATTTTATAAAGATCTAGCCGAGATTGATCATGGTAATTGTAATTCAAATCATTTCATTATTGTCAATCATGCACCATGAAAGTTCATCACACAAGTTATTTATATTGATGACATCTTACTCATTGAGAGGGGTCAAAAATGTCATCTCTGAAGCTAGACACTATATACTAAAATGTTTTAACCTAAAAAGCTAAGCAGACCAAGTCACCAAAATACTTTCTTAGCAACAAAAAAGAACTCTTTCTGTGAGAAATATGATCAATATCTTTTGATAAGACTGTCTTCTAGGTTCTAAACTTATAAATATCCCTATAAATACTGGGAACACTACTGATAACGAGGACATCATTACTGATTCGTCTATGCATCAAAGCTAGTCAAAAAATTGATTTATCTATTAGTAAGTATAGCATCCTTTTTTTTCTTAGTGCTGTAAGGCATTGATCCTGAAGCATCAGGCCATGTGGTGTAGGATGGAAGCTTTACACTGAGATCTACAAGTAGTAAAAACCACCATCAACGTTCCACTCCAACTGGAATAACTTAAATGGCATTATTGAAATTTTCTAGTGACTCAATTGGTTATTTGAAAATGGTTTTTTTTTTTTAATTTCATCATTTGGTAACAGTTAAATATAGTAGAAATAAGTGTTTACAACTCTTAAAATCATCAATTTTTATAAAAAATGATGGTTTCATTTTCACACATAAGGAGTGAAAACAAATCATGACGTTATAAAACATGTTTTCTATCTACAAGCAATAAATGAGTTATTATAACAACAAAATGTGGCTTCTATGGAGGGAGATGGAATAACATTGAGCCAAACACAAAAAAAAAATTCATGAACGATCAATGATTATAACCAGCAATTGATGAAAGATTTTCATCAAATATAGGGTCGAGGAAGTCGATGTCATCATAAGGAATCTCCTCAATGACACGTTGCAATTATGTTTTACATTGATGTGGCACATCACACGTATACATATACATATACATATATATACATATAGAAATAGATAGATATTTATATATGTGTTGTGTGTGTATATATATATAAGCGGAACCATGCATAGTTGAGGTTGGGCAATTGCCCACGCTCAAAACACTCAAAATTGCAATTTTAATAAATAATAAGTGAAATTTAGTTAATTTTTCCCCCTCATATATACTCTATTTTGCCAATATTTTGGATAAAAAAAAAGGTATAGCCTATTTGAGAAGGTTATACTTTGATCTTTTCCCTCCACATAGAAAATTCGAAAGTACTCTTTTGAGGTAATAGCATAAGAAATTTGTTATTTTGTACTATTAATTTTCAACTTATTTTTAATAAAGTACAACACCATTAAAAAATAGAGACAATAAATTGAGAAAAAGCAATAGCAAAAAGTTAAGATAAACTAGAAACAAAGACCTCAGACACTTCTTTACAAGTGTTGCTTGAGACAAGGCAATTAATTTGGTTCTAGTAAATGATCTATAAAAAATTGTTCATAATTGCTTGCACTTTTTTTTTATTATTTTTGTTTTTGTTTAGCTCATATTAATGCTCTAGTTATACATATTCGGTTAGAGATTCCAATTATTTATGTTAAATTTAGAGTTTTTCCTATGTTTAGGATTTAATAAATGGATCAATATTTGAAGAGAAAAGACCAAAAGAAATTTATAGCAACAGTCATCTTGCTTACTCAGGGCTTCAACCTTCGATTTGGAGTACAATGTTAACGAGATGGATAGATTCAAAAGACATATTTGAAAATAGTAAAGCAACTTTATAAAAAATAGAAAATAAATTGAGAAAATTATAAGCTTTGTTTAAATCATCAATTATAATGATATATAAAATTTAGTCTTATATTTATTTTTATATTTAATTTTTTATATAATGAGTTTTCCACCATAAAAAAAGATAAATTCTACCCCTATATATATATATATATATGTGTGTGTGTGTGTGTGTGAGAGAGAGAGAGAGAGAGAGAGAGTGTGTGTGTGTGTGAGAGAGAGAGAGAGACAGTGTGTGTGTGTGTGTGAGATGCCATATTAATGTAAAACATAAATGCAACGTGTTATTGAGGAGATTCCTTATCATGACATCAATGGTCTTTGATCTTATATTTGATGAAGATCTTTTATCAACTGGTTATAATCATTATCGTTCATGCTATGTCTATCAACAACCCTTTTTTGGGGAAATATTGGAACAAGATCTTCATTATTCACATGTACCACTTGTTGTGATAAGTTTTACCATTTAGTCACATTTTGGGGAGAGCACAAATACAGTCGATCCTCCCTCGGGTTATGCTCACATCTAACCTACTCCCAATCATTTAATATCACGAAGGTTAATAAGAGAAATCTCCAAATCATTGAGCATTCTCATGCATCAATTTAACTGGGTATTTATTCCACCAATGTTAGATGTGACGTGTTACACATGAATGCCACACATAGATGAGACGTGTTACAAATGAACGCCACACATTTACTATTGGCTCAACACTAATTTTATGACGTGAATGTAATACACTAAAGATGATTATTACAACTACATCTTCACACATCAAGGAATATAAATATCACTAATGTTTTCGAAGACCATTTACACATCTAGCATCAACCAAAAAATGCACTTAGACTGCCATAATGCAAGTACAAATTGTTTCCTCATAAGAATTTGCACAAGCTCATAAAAAGTTTGGATTTATTGTTTTACTAACTAGCAATCTCTTGGCACTATGCTAGACATCAATATATTTTATCAGATCATAAAATTGTACAAGCAAATTGTGAAATAATCTACCAAAATGACGAACCAACCGACAATCATGAAAGCCTACCAAAGAAGAAGAACTCCAAAACAATCAATATTGGCAACATAAAGTTGGTGGAACAGCTGTCTGCGAAGGACCTTGTTGTTTTTTTTTTCTTGATGTATTTATTAGCTTGATTTGCCAAAAAGGAGATACAGTAGCGAAGCGATGTGTCATTCGGCAATCGGCTGCTTGGCGTGGGTCGTCTAGGAGGTGTTAGAGGAGGCTTCGTAAAGAGATGCATCCTTTAGTTTCTGTTCTTTCTTTTCTTTTTTTTCTTGTTTTTTTTTTTAATTAGTCAACAGTAGAATACACCATAAATATTCTTGCAGAATATTAACTGTCATAGAAGTTTTTTTCATAAAGAAAAGATGAGCACATTGACAGTAAAATAAGTGTGGATCGTCCAAAAGCAGGAGCCAGCATTGACACATTGGCACAAGTGTAAAATAAAGAGCAAGTTTTGAACACATAAAAAAACAGCATTGACTTAAGATCTAAGTTATTTTAAAATACAAGAAAGCGCTAAGCAGCACCATCCTAATGAACGTGCATCTTTTTAACACAATTAAATAACACAAGAATGCTGGGTAACGTAAAAAGGCTTATATTATGCTAATTGTCATATACGTTGGCTCTGAAGAAATTGTTTACATCCAGCATGGGAATGATCAATAAAGTGGTCATATATTTGCTATCATGAATCTGTTTTTTTGTGGACTGTTATTCTCTACATAACTCATTGATTCAGTTTGCTAAACTAACAAGAACATGAAATTTTTACAGTAAATAATAGCAGATTTTTAAACAAAATCATGCAAGTTGTGGAGGGCTCAGCAAAGAGCGAAAACTGTTACTTTATCTTACCCAATCTAAACCAGCACAACCAACAGCCTCCAACAAAACCTCTTCTGATTCATAATCCACAATCATTCCAATCTGGGAAAAAAACACAATAGCAGGGGATCAATAAATGAAGAAATTTCTGATTTACCACTATCCAATTTCATAATTTTCAGTTTAAATATGAATGCTGTAAAACAAAGAGTAATAGACCGCAGAAGTCAAAGTTAAGATAATTAACCACAAAGGAAGCATAGAATAATTGGCAAACTGATATAGCAACTCAGATCTCAAGCAGCATTCAAAAATAATGGTGCCAAAATTGTAGGTAAAGCGATCAGCATAGGGCTCTAAACAATGGACTCCACCAAACAAGCAATCATTTACCATAACCACACGTGAAAATGCCACCAAACTAAAACTCATGGGTTGAGGACCAATTAAGAAGCACTGAAGCAGTAGTAGATCTTCTGAGGAATGCCACGACAAGAAGATAAAAAATAGTCATAAAGAATGAATATAGCATTTTGTCCCTTTTCAGATCGTTTATGAATGTTTTTTCCCCTTTAAATGGGAAGAGGGGGTGTCTAATTCAAGAGAGAAATTATGAAAATTGAGTTGGGTGCAATAGATGAGGGAGTTAGCATTGAGGGTATCATTAATGAAACAAAAAGAGGGGAGTTAGTATTAATGGTTATTGTTTATGAACAATAAACAGAGCATAATAAGTGCTAATTGATTAGGACAAGGATAAAGGTGAGGTTTCCAACTGGGGATCTAGTTTAATTTCAACATCAAACTGATGAAGGGTTTCTTTCATTGGTTTTGGGTTTTCAATTTAATTGTCTAATTAGAATTTGAGCTAGGTTAGCTGGTTTAGTGGATGGCTTTCATGAATTTCTTATGTGATTACAAATTTTGGAATTTGAATTTGAATAGAAATAAAATGAGAATTTTTAGAATTTTAAAGACTGGAAGGTAATGTGACTAGGATTTGAGTTACAAGTCGTTTTGTTTGAGAAAGGGGAACCTATTGGATAGGGCAATACGACATGAATATGAGATTGAAAACGAGCACTTCTCATTAATAGCATTCACGCACTTAGCAATGGGAAGAAGAGGCAAGGAAAGTCTACGTAGAGAAAAACTCCATAAGAGAACTTAATTCATAATGAAAATGTAAAAGAGAAGGAATACAATAATACCATATAAATTTCATAAACTTTTCAGATAGAATTGTTGCTTTGATACTAAATGATATGGAATGGGCAGTTGAATGGTGAAATCCAAGGAGAACTGAATAAGATAGAGGATAAGATGGTGGGAAAGAATGATCCAGTTAAAAAGCTGCATAGTAAATCCTCAAAGCAAAGAGATGGAAACACCTGTACATCTTATGTTGGATTGGTGTAGAAATCCTCGAGGAAGGAAAGGAGCTCAGTTCATCCAACAGTCAAAGTGCAAATGACCACCAACAGTCCTTTTATAAAGAATCTCCAAATCCTAAAGATTAACATATCCTTAATAAACAAATGAGAAACAAGTTTAATACCAAAAAAATAGGCAAACTATATAAGCTAGTGACAAAAACAAATAAGGACATATGACTCTATGTGACTCAAAGTACAATTAAACAATGCCAACTGAAATTTGATCATCATGATGGTAAAAAATGTCAATAGATACTAGAAAACAGTCAAATAGCTGGATACTTTTCATAGCCTCATTAATCACTCCATCCATAAAACCCAATTTCATGATACCATTTTATTATAAGTAAGAGAAACAAAAAATGACATGTTCTTGATGATGATGATTCACAGTTAGAGCATGCTCAAAACAAGTTTAACTAGATACATTTTACAAGTTGGGGTTTAAAAACATTAGTTTCTAATTTGGACTCTACATAATATAATTTCGATCTTTAAAAAGTAAAAAAAAAAAACTCGAATAAGAACAAGTAGATAATTAAATATCCTCAAAATATTATCCACTTAAAAGGATGGGAACCAACAAGCCTTCTCTGCTTAGAAATATCTTGAAAATAAATAATTATACTAAGGTCGGTCCATCAAATAATAAAGAGTGATACTAAACCTTTAATTAAAAAGATAGATATTTTGCTCTTATTATATGAAACATGTGCTTGCTGAATGTCAAAAAAACGAATAGTATGACATCATGCCCATATAGACAAACAAAAATTACTTACACCAGTCGAGAGTTTCCTCCATCTCAACGACAATTATAGACACTCGGATTATTTTGAGCACGCTCTAACTGTGAATCACTATCATCATTAGATACAGCATCAATAAGTCTCCCTTTTCCCAGTGGAAACAAATTCAAACTTTAATTATTATATCTACATTTCTCTTCATTAGCTGCAATTAAGATACCCTCCATTGAACTGTTGCTTTTCTCTGGTCTGTTGCTCTCAAACCAGAATGTCCGTACATTTGCAGTATTTCCAGTTAGATGCTTCAAGCTGGCTAATAATCTGCTTTCAGTACATTGATGGAAAGTAACATCAGTAATCCTTTCTAAAGAAATATTTGTTAAATTCAGAGAATTGGAGAGGGAAAAAAGTTTAATTTTATTGCTCAAATTTGTCCCTATTTATAGATCTATACAAGATATCTTAATAAAGAAATAAATAATTATAGAATCATACATAATTGCTCTAATATAAATATATAATCCTTCCTAAATCAGCCAGCTAAATAAGGAAGGAGATCGTCGCACTCCAGGTGAGCTCCCACGGATCCCCATCCTAGCTATGGGATCAAAATGCCAAGGACGGCGGAGATCGGTGCAATCCATGTGAGCCTCTCATGGATTCCCACCTAGCCGCAGGATCAAAATTAGGGGTGTCAAAATCTAACCCGAACAAAAAAAATTTCAGGTTCGGATTTGAGATTTCGACCTGTTTGCAAAACAGGTCGGGTTCGGGTTGACCCGGAAGACCGGAAACCTGAAATCAACACATCAAGTGCGTGAGTTGTGAACTAGACCTAGTCGGCTAGTCTGGACGTCTCATGCGAAATGAACTCGTCTGTGCTTGCGTGAGTCAGTGCGTGACCAAGCTTGACCTCAACTAGCGTGAGTCAGTGCGTGCCGAGCATGAGCCATCACTACCGCCAGCCCGCCGTGCCGAGTCTCGTGTGAGTCAGTGCACGACCCAAGTCCTCTGTGGCTCCATCCTTGACCGCCAGGCATCAGTCGACAAGAGTCACTAAGTCAGAGCCGTCTGCCACAGTGTAGCCAGAAGATGTCGACCCATCCATCTACCGTCGTACTGCCTCGCAAACCGTCACACTCGCCGTCCCTCCCATTTTTTAATCAAGTGGGTTGGCGGGTCGTGTTGGGTCAATCCTGTCACCCACGTGAGTCGGTCTGGGTTGAAATACCTGACCCTTTTGAAAAAATGGGTCAGGTTCAAGTTGGCCCGTTTAGACCCATGTCAACTTGGGTTTGACTCGAGTCCGACCCGTCGACCCATTTTGACACCCCTAATCAAAATGCCAATAGACGGCTCAGATTTAACACTCTCCCTCAAACTAGGGAATACAAATCTGTCATACCTAGCTTGGTAACTAGTCTAAAAAATATAGAGTTATCAAGTCCCTTGGTAAGAATATTCACAGCTGATCTTTTGATGAGACATGGTAGATACATATAAGACCACTATCTAGTTTCTCCTTTATGAAATGTCTGTCCACTTTTATGTGCTTAGTCCTGTCATGTTGAACTAGATTGTGAGCTACGTTGATTGTTGATTTATTGTTACAGTGTAGTTTTATGGGTCCTGCTTACTTGATCCTTAGGCTTTCTAGAATCATCTTGATCCATAGTAGCTCACATATTCCCAGGATCATAGCTTTGTATTATGCTTTTGCATTAACCGTGCCACCATATTTTGTTTCTTGCTTCTTCATCTAATAAGGTTTCCTCCAAAGAATGTGCAGTATCTTGAGGTAAATCGTATATCTACTGGGATTTTGCATAATCTATATCAGTATATACTTCTGGGGTTATTCCACAGTCTCTTCTGAAAAGAATCCATTTGTTTTGATTCCCCTTAAGATAGTGCAGTATTCTATTTACAACTTGCATATAAGTCTGCTTTGGATTTTTGTATGAATTGGCTGACCATGCTTACAACAAATGCTATATATGGACTAATGTGGAAAAGATAGATCAATTTCCTCACAAGTCTCTTGTAAGCTCCCTTATCTATATTTAGATCTTCTTTAGCTACTCCCAATTTGTGATTTAGTTCTACTAGTATTAGTGTTGTTTATTAGCAAGCTTACATGTTTATTTAAGAATATCATTAATGCAATTTTATTGTGAAAAGAAGATCCTTTGTTGGAGTGGGACACTTCAATTTCAAAGAAATATTTTAATCTATCAAGATCTTTGATCTCAAATTCCTTGAAAAAATATTTCATCAGAATTACTCTCTTTTTCATCATTTTCAGTCAAGATGATATTATCCACATAAATTAATAAAATTGTAACTTCCCCTGAGTCTGAGTGCATAAAGAATAATGTATGGTCTTCCCTTGGCTCTGCCGATAACCATTAAGTAGCACAACTTTTGAGAATCTTCATAGTCAAGCTCTAGGTAATTGCTTTAGCCCGTATAAGCTTTTTTTAACCTACATACTTTATCACCCCCAGATTTCTTCTTAAATCCTGGTGAAATCTCCATAAATATTTCTTCATCCAAGCCCCCGAGTAGGAATGCATTTTTGATATGCAACTGTTTTAGATGCCAATTGTAATTAGCTGCTAGCGACAACAAGATCCTCACATTGTTCTTCTTGGCCAAAAGTGCAAAAATTTTTTGGTAGTAAATGTCGTATGTCTGAGTGTACCCTTTTTCCACCAATCTTGCCTTATACCTTTTCAATGTACTATCAACTTTGTATTCACAGAGAACACTCATTTGGTTTTTTTCCTACTTATAGGTCGGTGATCTGCCAAGTATTATTTTTTTTCAGGGCCTGCATTTCATCTTTCATGACAATTTTCTAATTTTCATCAGATAACGCCTCAGAAATATCATTAAGAATATGAATAACATTTAG